TGTTCAAAAAACACATTATTTTTCAAATACTGTACATTATTGTAGGTCCTCTATAGCAGTGCTTCTCAACCAGGGGTCCGTGGACCCCTAGTGGTCCTTGACGTAAGGCCAGGGGGTCCATATAAAGTATGAATTTTTGTATAAATTTTGTATATTTTGACATGACATGTTCCCATGAAAGAAAAGTCAAATAAAGCTGATGATATGGCCAAATACTGGACAAGTCAGCTAACTTGAATTATACTTGACTGTATTTGGTCCTCACAAAGACACAAATGATATATAATGATACATAGATTAGTCCATTTTGTTCTGGGGGTCCTTGAGGATGGTTCAGAATTGGACTGGGGTCCGGTACGCCAAAAGGTTGAGATTCACTCCTCTATAGGATTAAAGAATGGATGCGTCCAAACAGGACAGCGGAAAGTACAGTATGATTACAAGACTCAATTACATTTTATTATTTCCCTCCAAAGGAGCAGAACATGGTAACAGCCTGCCGAGGATCTTAGTCACGGTTAACCAGTCTGCTGGTAAAGCTCCTTACAGGGCAACTACCTGCGTTGGGTGTTAATCTTTCTGAGACGCACTTATTACCTCACACGTAAATCCAAGCTAAAGACAGCACTGTGGCTCTCGTTATTCTGTGAAAGTCTGGTCATTGAGAGACTGGCAGCTGAACAGAGCGAGTATGTAAGTGTGTGGTTAACCTGGTGCAGTCCTGAATGCAGTCTGCGCTGTTTCCATCTTTGAGGTAGCAAGCAGCTCTATTGGAGTACAGAATACAAAGATCCTCTGGGCTGTCGATACCTGCAAATACAAGCACAGCACTGAAAATAGACTCAGAAAGCAGCTTTAGATCTGCATGGATACATGTGGGAGGAAGGGTTCAGAGTTCAGGCAGCCATTTATGCTGGAATACATTTCGTTTAGTCACCTGATACCATGTTACAAACCCAACTAGTCATAGAGTAAACACTCTGGGGAAGCTGAGTTTAGAACATCCCTGCTTTCTAAAGGCCCATTACGTAACTTTAGTGGACACGCCCACAATGCACAGTTGCGGAAGTGCCAGTCTTGTGAAACGCGTTCACTTCTATTTCACAACAATGCAGCTTTAGTCCCCGAAATGCAGTGGCTCGATGAACAGCGGTTTAAGACCTTTTCCATGGGACATCTAGACAACAGAGCCTCTCTATGAACCGGTATCGGATTGCTTCCCCTGCATTACTCAGCGCTGCTAAACAGGATCTACGCAATGTTTGCGCAGTAGATGCTTTTGTGATTCACACTACAACACGATTCATTTAAATGTGCTGGTTCATTTGGAAACACCCAGTCACCAAAAACTGTTAAACATACTATTCATGCACACATATAATATAGATAAATACTTGTACCCCACCAGAGTCATTGAAAGATGTTGGATAATTTGAAGAATACAGTACTTTTAAGGCAGTATACTATCAAAAAGTATCAAAATATTGTCACCTTGCCAACAATGCCACTTTGCTGAAACCAAAATCTGTTAAATATATTATATTATTAACATCATTTCAATATACTTGAGCACAAAATACTTGTATCCCGCCAGAATCATTTAAAACCAACTGCTTTTAAGTCAGTACACTATAAAAACAAGCACAGCTATGCCAAAATTATCACCTTACCAAAAATACCATCTTGGTAATACCAAAATCTGTTAAATATACTATTTTAACACAGGCATCATATATTAATTCAAGTTACTTTAACACAGAATAGTTGTTACCCAACCAGAATGATTGAAACATGTTGATTAATTTGAAATATACTATAAATAGTAGGAAAATAGACACTATAAAATACCACCTTGCCAAAAATGGCATTGTGGTGACACCAAAAATGGTTAAATATACCATTTTAGCATACACATATAATATATTATTTTGAGGTTAATACTTGTACCCCACCTGAATCATTGAAATATGCTGGTTAACTAAAACATAAATTGGTATAATATGCCAAAAATGCCATTTTGGTGACACCCAAAATCTGTCAAATATACTATTTCAAGATGATTAAACACAAAATACTTGTATCCCACCAGAATCATTAAAAAACAGTACTTTTATGTCAGTAAACTAGAAAAACAATGATCACCTTGCCAAAATAGCCACCTTACCAAAAATGTCTAATCTTGGTAAAACCAAAGACTGTTATATCTACTGTTTCAACACAAACATCATGTATGATTTTGACAATAAGTACAGAATATTTGTACTCTACCAGCTTCTATACATCCGTCAATGGCCTGTGTGTATTTCTCCAGCGCGTCCCCAAACTGTCCATTTTTGAACAACATATTGCCCTCATTTTTGAGCCTGGCCAGTGGAGGAGGAAGGGCCCCACACGGGGCGTCCAGATTACAGCTCGCCCCAGCAGTGCCACTGTGCACTGGACCAGAGCCCTGAGGCTCATCCTGGCTCTTGCCGGCTGGAAGGGTGCCATTCACTGCCGAGCTCTTCCCTTGGACATCCTTTGAGTTGGCTGTGTTGTTTCCATGGCTCCTCTTGTACCCCGGGGTCCCAGGTTGAGAGTGCGGGCCCCCTCCCTCTCCGTGACCGGGGCCCTTCTTTTGTGAATTCCCCATGGCTGCCCTCAGTCCCTACCAAAGTACAGCGAGCTCCCGTCCTCACACTCATACACTCATACACTCTCTCGCTCTCTTCCTGTTCCCTGCACAGACTGTGAGGCTCAGCCAGAAGTGGGAGGACACGCCTCCTGCGGGACACTCTGAGCTGTGACATCACGCGGGGGGAGGGGCTGCGGAGCTGCTGCAGAGTGGGGGTGGTTTACTGTGAAACAGCAGCCAGGGGACTTCAAACGTCTCTGCTAGATTTCATTGTGCGCAAAATCAGCTGCAGAGCCCTTCAGCTGACACTGCTCAGCATCTCTGTGCTCTAAGCAAAATAAAGCTCACACAGTACCGCACAAAAGTTTGGAATAATTAGAATGTTTTAATGTTCTGGAAAGAAGTCTCTTATACTCACCAAGGCTACATTTATTTGGAAAAAAAAAAAACCTTTAAAATAATTAATAAACAATTTAAAATACCATAAAAAAAAAACGTACAAGTAGTAATATTGAGAAAAATTGTTACAATTGAAAATAAATGGTTTCTATTTGAATATATTGTGATCAAAGCTGAATTTTCAGCATCGTTACTCCAGTCTTCAGTGTCACATGATCCTTCAGAAATCAGTATAATATGCTGATCTGCTGCTCTCTCTCTATACAACAATTTTTGCTGCTTGATATTTTTTGATTACATTTTTTTTTCAGGATTCTTTGGTGAATAGAAAGTTAAAATAAGAGCATTTATTTAATATTAGAAATCTTTTGTTGTCACTTTTGTTCAATTTAATGCATCCTTGCGGAATAAAAAAAAAAATATTTTATTTTCAGCATCGTTACTCCAGTCTTCAGTGTCACATGATCCTTCAGAAATCAGTATAATATGCTGATTTGCTGCTCTCTCTCTATACAACAATTTTTGCTGCTTGATATTTTTTGATTACATTTTTTTTTCAGGATTCTTTGGTGAATAGAAAGTTAAAATAAGAGCATTTATTTAATATTAGAAATCTTTTGTTGTCACTTTTGTTCAATTTAATGCATCCTTGCGGAAATAAAAAAAAATATATATATTTTTTAATCTTAGCCCATACTTTTGAATGGTGGTGTATCACAGTTTCCACATAAATATGAAGCAGCACAGCTGTTTTCAATATTGATACTACTAATCATAAATATTTCTTGAGCAGCAGATCAGCATATTATACTGATTTCTGAAGGATCATGTGACACTGAAGACTGGAGTAATGATGCTGAAAACTCAGTTTTGATCACAGGAATAAATTATATTTTACAATACATTACAATAGCAAATAGTTATTTTAAATTGTAATATTTCACATTATTAGTGTTTTTACTGTATTTTCGATCACATAAATGCAGCCTTGGCAAGCATAAGAGACTTATAAAAAAATTTAAAAAAAAGTATATATATTGACCACTAGTGTGACTGTTCATTGAAAGAAACAGAAAATGTATTTTGTGTTATAATAGCACAAAGTAACAGCAGTTAGTCTGTTTAGCCATTTAAATTTTGGTTACAGCAACACATTTTGGCTAGCAAATATTTTCCAGACACACAGAGAACAAAGTTTTAGGATTCTGAAAAATGTATAACAAAGACATTTCTAGATCACTGTCCAAATGTTAGCAAAGCTGTGACAGTGATCATCTGCATTCATTCGTACAGATCGTCAGATGCTTTCGCATACATTAAATCACAAGATGTTTGTTTTTTCCCCACAAATAACGCTGGATCACATGATAATCAGGTTTCACACAAACGTGTAGAATCTACTATAAAACACTACAATGACACCAAATATTATTACATTTTATTATTACAATTTACTGTTGCTTGAGTGTGGTTGAAATCCAGTCACTTCAATAGGAATCCATGTGATTGAGAATCTTGCGTAAGGGCAAAAACTTTCCCCGCGCTGATTCCACAACAGAATCAGAAGCCGGTCACGTGAATTTGCTGTGTTGACCCACAGAAAGCTGCTTGGTTTGAAAGTGATTTCTGCGTGAACTCTGCTTCATTATCACTGCACTATTAACAACAGACCTATTTTGCTTGTGAAATTTCACTAATGATAACCTTCATCCATCCTAAACCCTACAAGAACAACTCACTAAACATTATTTGAGCAGGTTTACACCAAGACCAAAAAAATTAAAATAAAATGATATTAATAAATAATAAAATATAATTCTAAACTGCAAATACAAAAAGAAAACACATTCACTCAAGAAGTTTTTTTTTGTAAATTGTATTTCACTCCATTTTGATCCATTAGTGGTTACATGTATTTACACAGTCAGAGATAAAAAAGCTAATTCTAACAGCAGATGCATCTCATCGGGCATCAAATACAACCACTGGACACAAGAGTTAAGGGTAAATACAAAGAACACAGGAAGGGAAATATAATGACCACAAAATAAATCAAATCAAATTGAACTGTAAACAGGACTATAATGACTTAATTACTACAGCATGCATGTCTGAATCAAGAAACCATGGCAAGAGCTTAATTTTGTAATTATTACAAGTATCAAAGTAGTAGTACCCCAAAAATGGTCATCATTGACTCATCACCATATGCTCCACACATTTCTGTTCTCCACACAACGAGAATTCAACTGACCACAGCTGTAAAGCTCCTCCTAAAAGGGCATCCACACTATATTTCACATTATGAACAGCAATCTCCATTGGTTAGGCATTCTGTGATCAAACGGCATGATGGCAAAACTGCATATTTTAATGAATGAATATGGTGGTCTGTTTTTCACAATAAAGTCTTAATATAACTTCAAACACATGAGTCAGATGGACCACTTTTATGGGGTTGTGTTTTTTTTAGAGCTTTACAGATGTGGTGACTATGAACTGTCACTGAATGGAAAAGAGCAGATTTCAAAGTTCTATGTTGCATGGAAAAAAATAACCACATATGCTGTGGGTTATGGTTTGGGACAACATGAGGGTGAGTAAATGATGCCAGTGGGTTTTTTTTTTTTGGGGGGGGTGAACTACTCTGTTAAAGGGGTCATATGATGCTGCTAAAAAGAACATTATTTTGTGTATTTGGTGTAATGAAATGTGTTTATGCTGTTTAAGGTTAAAAAAACACATTATTTTCCACATACTGTACATTATTGTTTCTCCTCTATGCCCCGCCTTTCTGAAACGCGTCGATTTTTACAAAGCTCATCGGTCTGAAAAAGCGAGGTGTGCTGTGATTGGCCAGCTATTCAGTGCGTTGTGATTGGCCGAATACCTCAAGCGTGTGACGAAATGTTACACCCCTTACCATATTGTGATGCCTTGTCCCGGACGGAGTGACTCTTAACTTTTATAAAGAATATCTCTTTGGATTTGAGACTTTAGTCTTTGCAACTTTACAGATCTTCTTTATGCACCAAGAGCTTGTAACACTCCAAAGAGAAAGGAAAAATTGAAATCGCATCATATGACCCCTTTAACCACGAAGCATTATTCAGCTGAGAAAGGATACATCTTTTGGTCCTCTTCTTGTACATGATTCTGTAACCGCATTCTCTGCATCTGATGGGGTCTCGGGCCTTGATCTCATTCTCTGTATGACACTCTGAAACACAGGAGCAAACACACAAACACTTGACAGCTCAGAGAGATTGTGTGATGGGATCTTGTTTGCTCAGTTATGAAAGACATGATTATATAACCATGACTAATACATAAAACACATGAGAAACATAATTAAAAGCCTGAAGAGAGCAATTACCTCCACAAATATAGATCATCGGCTGCTGTTTAGGAGGCTGAATGTCTTTCTGAGAGTCCATGGCCTGAAACACACACATTAACAGCTACTACTAACTTAATGAATTATTAAATACTATAAATATATTAGATATATCCTTAAATTAATATATAATAATAATGTATCTATTAGTTACATGAGCTAGACTTTACTAAAGCACCCATATAAGAGACTTTATCATCATTCTAGTGCTACTAATGAGTACGAACACGTTCTGCTATTACAAACTAGCTAGATGCATTGTTCTTCATATTTATATTAGACACAAAACCGCACATTATTTTGAATTTCATTTGCTTCAAATGTAAACAGTCGAAGCGTTACCTTCCACGCGTGAGTTGCTACAAAACGCTGTTGGTTTTCACGCAAGAGCGTTACTTACAGAGAGACATCACAGTAACGAACGCTGCTATTGGTTGAAACGAATGATTGACAGCAATCGAACGCCTGAAAGGGGCTCATCAAACTCTGGTGGGAGGAGCTTAGAATTTTACGTAGTATATCCGGGACTTTTATTTTATTTCAATAATAACAGACGGCGGCGAAAAACGTCTGAAATCGCGGCGACGCCATTAAGCGTGTATTTAAGTTCGGCAATAATAATAATAAAAAAGAGGGACAGGTGCACTAACAGCTCATAGCATCACTAACTCAATCTAGTGTGGTTTTCCTCAGCGTTTGCAATATCTGCACAAAGGATACGTCGGGCAGCTGCTCGAAGATCTCGCCTTTGGAGAAGACTGTTGATTTTATACTTTAAAAATGTAAGTATTACTACTTAAACATTAAGATTACCCCAGAATGAATTGCATCGTTTGCCCACCCCAACACTTACATGCAATAATAATGATAAATGCTAACCAATAATTACTTTTTTTTTAAAAACTTAAAATGAAAAAATATATACTTTTTTGTCGTGACATAGCTATACATAAATATACACTAGTTGAACAAATGCAGTCGATGTGAATACATCAATTTTCAGTCAAGCAATTAATACAATAATTAATAAAATATTTATATTTTATTTACCCTGTGTGATTTGGACAACTTCAAGTTACGCCTCCTTGTTCAAGTTACGCCCCCTTCCAGTTACGCCCCTCTCTTGCAGTCCGCAGACAGACACACTTGGGGGTATTTATCGGCAACGGCACGTCATTTTAATATTTAATAATAATAATATATTTTTTTTGTTTTAATTAATTGTTTTGAAAGTTTGGCTGTTATTAGTTAGTACTGTCAATAAAAATGTGTGTTACGTATTATTATTATTTTTTTTGTTTGTTTTTACAATAGTGCTATCAACATTTATTTCCAAACAGAAATGTATTTTTTTTATCTGTATCTCTGAAATGTTTTTCTCGCACTGTCACTTGTGTCAGGAGTGTTGTGGACGCTCTCGAAGCCGGAAGTAGCGCGTGAGTCACTGCAGCGGTCCATGTTTCAGGTAAGCCTGCAGAATTTAGCTCTCAGTATTCTGCTACGCTGTTATTATACAAATATTGTTCTAACACGATCGTGCACAGTATATATTGTTCTTCGTATTATGAATATTAATGCGCAGCTGTCTGTTATGATCCAGCCTCACCCTTTCAGTTTCTCTTTCTCGGCATTGGGTTTATTACGGTTTATTATTACACGATACAACATATATAACAAGTTTATAACATCCAGTTACCAAGTATATCTATTTCTAATTACTCATAATTTCTCATTTTATTTCTAATTACTATCTATCTATCTATCAAATATCTGTATATTACACAACACAGGATTTCTATTTATAACAACAGTTACCATCTATTCATCCAGTTACTAACTGTTGGTATCTGTCTATCTATCAATCAGCTTTGTAAAAAAAAATGTAAATGCATTGTAGTAATATATAAACCCACAAAAACAATCCCAAAAGACGCATTGCACCATAGATAGGTGGAAAACCCCACAAACACAACAATAACAACAGTTTGACCATTTGATTTGATTGATTTGTTTTTATTTTAGTGCAGTAGCCTCACACAAGGTTTTGCTGGTAAGTGGGGCAGGAATGACAGTTACTCTCTCAACCGGCTCAACTTCATTCTTCATGAGTGTTTTTCTGTGTTGTCAGAATGGCCGAGAGCAGCCTGGAGGAGCGGTGTGTGGAGGTTCTGGATATTCCTGATGATTTGGACGATGAATTTCTCTCTCTCTACTTTGATAACAAGCGGCGCTCTGGAGGAGGGAGCGTGGTCTCTTTGGAGAGACGTGGAAAGCATGCACTGGTGGTTTTTGAAGACGCAGAGAGTAAAAAAAAATTGAATCGATTAAAAATACATTATATTAAAAAATGAATAAAATGACAATATTGCAAGCATACATAAGCAAAACTCTTTGAAAAATTGTTTCTCTCACACTAGCTGCTGTCAGAGTTGTCTCCAAGACCCATGTGCTCCAGAATAACACACTGACGGTGCGGAGGAAACCACCAAAGGACCCTGGAAAGCTGCTGCTGAAAGGGCTCAATCCACACACTTCACTGGACCATGTGGAGCTTTACATAGAAAATGTTACTGGAATGAATTATGAAACAGACTTCATCCTGTATCCATCTCCGAACAAGGACCTGGTTGTAGTACATCTGAAAAACCCTTTAGACAAAGGTTTGTAGCTCATCGGTACATCGACATTACATACAGAAAATACTGGAGGCACACTTTTAATAATGTATAAGTGTCTTTAAATATCATACCAAGTGGTGTTTATTTGAATAAAGTATAGCACAAGCTAGTTTTCAAGCAAAACTTTTCACTAAAAGTGTCTTCGAAAGATAAAATACCAGACTGATATACTGACATGTTGTGGTTGTCCGATGTTAGTGTGTTTCTCTGCACCTGATAGGACACCCGAGTGAACTTGAGGAGAGCTGACTCCATACATCCACTAAACATCACTAAAACAGCCAATGATTAAAAGCCATGAAACAAAGAGCATTGAAGAGATTTTATAAAAAGAAATACTTGTATTCAGCAAGGATGCATAAAAATGCTCAAAAGTACCAGTAAAGACATCTAGAATGTTACAAAAGATCTGTTTCAAATAAATGCTGTTATTCTGAACTTTCTCTTCATTAAAGAATCCTGAAAAAATGCATCATGGTTTCCATACAATATGAAGCAGCACAACTGTTTTCAGCATTGATAATAATAGTAATAATAAATGTTTATTGAGCAGCAAATCAGCAGATTATACTGATTTCTGAAGGATCATGTGACACTGGAGACTGGAGGAATGATGCTGAAAATCACAGGAAGAAATTACATTTTAAAATGCATAAATAACACTACGTTAGTTCTGAGAAAAGCTTGAGCAGCATTTGAGCACTCAGTCTCTTGGTTTGATATTTTGTATCAAATGCAATGACATTACTACATTTTTAAGTGTGCAAATACATTTAGGGCCACTCTATCAGACATTTTAGTTCTCATGAGTCATTTTAACGTTTGCACAAATTCTAGAACCATTTCAAATAAATTCACACGTGAATGTATGATAACAATCTGCAGTACGCTTGGTTTAAATGTTCTGTCATTGTCTACGTAGATTTTCAGATGCTCAGAGACGAAGTTTCCAAGAGGCCTCTAAATGAAGCAAAGGTCACTCTGGAGCAGGTGGAATCTACAGACTCTATTTCGGTGGCCAATCTGTCTCCTGCGCTCACAGAGGACGTGCTGGAGCTCTACTTTGGGAGCAGTCGTGCTGGAGGCGCTGACGTCCTGGCAGTTAGCATGCTAGCAAATGGCCGTGCGAAAGTTTCTTTCAAGGATGTGACGTGTAAGCCAGGATGTCTTTCTTTAGCCACTTTCTCTGTGTCTGTTCTGAATCTCACTCGAGTGTTTTCTTTCACAGCTGTGGACTGCGTTCTCCAGAAATCCCATCATTTGGAAGGGACAGATTTAGTAGTGGAGCCTTACTTTGATTTCTTGCATGATCGGTCGTCTGTGAGCGCTCAAGATGAACAAGGAACATTGATGGATGGGAACCAATCACAGACAGTCTCACCCCAAAGTCCGACTGCTTCTGTCCCAGAGGCAAGCATCCGCTTAGGACACGATGCTGCCACAAGTTTAGCGAATACTACTGCGTCTGCTCCTGAGCCGTCTATCCAGAAGGAATGTGTTAGCTTCGTATCTGTGCTTGACGCCACTAAACATCACCTGCTCAGTTTGAGCAATTTGCTCGAAACCTTCAAAAAGGATCACCCCAAATTCGACGTCAGTCTATTAAAAGATGGCGTCCAAGTCAAAGGTCCTGACCAAATTGAGGTTGAAAGACTTAAAAACGAAGTTCTGCAGTTCCTGACTGGTGTTGTGGAGGACCATCTGACGCACGACAAGCTCAAAGCTGAGTTTCTCGGACGGGAGGATGTTAAAAAAAGGCTGAATTTGTCTTTGAAAAGCATACCTTCCACCTACAGCGTGTCAGGCTGTACGGTCTCTGTAACGTCTCCGTCCCGTAGCGCCGTCAGGCAGGCCCGAGACCTGATAGAGTCCCAGATCTCAGAGTTCACTGTGCCCATAGCCAAAGAGTGCGAGAGCGTGCTCTGCTCACAGGAGTGGTCTGACTTCCTGGCGTCTCTGGACTTCTGCAGTGCCAAACTGTCCGACGCCGGTGGAGCGATTACTGCCCTCACCCTGACAGGGATGGAGAAGGACAATGAAGAGAATATTGTTGTGTTTCTCAGCACACCACGCCAGAAGGAGATCGTCCTGTCTATGGAGCCAGGAATGCTCAAATTCCTGCAACTCCATCATCAAGGTCTGCTGGCGGACATGGGAGAGGTCATCCTATTCCCTCTGGAGACTGCAGACGGATTGAGTGTTAGTTACTGAGTTTGCTTTCATTTGACTGATTTAAATGACATGTACACTACTGATCAAAAGTTTGGGGTCAGTAAGATTTAGTTTTAATGCGTTTTTTTTTTTTAAAGTTACAGTATAGGCAATTAATGTTACAAAAGATTTCTATTTCAAATAAATGTTGTTCAATCATGACAACTCTCATGATTGAACAGCTTTTTTAGCATGGTGATGGATATGACAATGTTAATGTATTTGGTCTTCAGTAAGCTCATTGGCTGCATATGCAGCATGAACCAATCAGCTTGTGCCAAGTCGTTTACTCTCTGAATATCATCAGTTACGTTAACAACCATCTAGAGTTTCAAGACCGAACTATATATTTCTTATCCACATTTATAATAATAATTTATAATAAAAAGAAATGTTTCTTGAGAAGTAAATGATTTTAAATTGTAATAATATTAATATGTTCTTAGGAGTCCATAACAGTGCTAAACATGTCACTTCCTGTTGCCAGCAGGTGGCGCTATGAGTATAACTGAATATGGGCATGGGTATTTGTTCAGGACATAACACCTATCAAA